TTTTGATTTTATTTATAAAAAAATATAAATGCAACAATAATAGAATTTTGTTTAATTCTTAATACATAATTTAAGAATGTTTTAAAAGTGAAGTAATGTCAACTTCGAGGATATTATTTGAGATATAGAATAAAAAGTATGCAAAAGTAAAGACATTTGAATAAAAAAAATTATTAGTTATTTATTTATTGATGTATATAATTAGTAAAAAAAATACTGACCATGAGGAAACTGTAACCGATCCAAAGTTCTTCCCAACCGCCCGGACACTGAGGTATAGCCATGGTCTGGCTGTGGACCGCGATTATCCGAGTCGGAGCCTCGCAAACGGAACACCTGGAGATGTATCTGCCGATTTCCGGCGCTGGTATCGGAGCCATGGACATGGGCATCGGTTCCGTTGTACTTAGCCAGTAGCTGTAATCTTCACGGTTCGCGTAATCGCACACGTTGTTGATGCTGCAGAACATGAACGGCATAGTGGAGAACCTCCTAACGCAGCTTCCGGGCGTACCTGAGAAATAACATTAATAATTTTTCAGATAGTTCATTGACGACAATTCGATTACTTCTTATATTAAAACAATTAGACAGCGAATGTTTATGCAAAATGGAACATTTATGGTAGCAGTTTATAAGATATGTTTTAGATAAACATTTATTTTACCAATAGAACATTGAAATCTATATTCAGCTTTTGATATTCTGCATAGTTTTATGCATTATACGTAGCACTCATAATTTCTGCACATTTTGCTTTCTCATAAATGGATGAAATCCGCTGTCTAATTATAATAGAATCGTTAGGTTGATTTTTCTTACCCAGATCTTGTCCGTATGGTCTTCCATTACCCATTATGTGTAATAGCGAGAAGCCTTCCCAAAGTTTCACTGTATTTTGTGGACAGAGTGGTATCATTTCAGATTGCGAGTGTCGGGCAAAGTAGAATCCTCTGTTTCGTGGACCTGGTGAAGGAGGTGCTGGAATTCCCGGGCTTCCAGGGTATCCTATGAAATTCATAATACACGTTTTTAATATACCCTTTAATAAATTTTAAGTCATTCAGACTTGGTGAATAATTTAACAGAAGATTATTATTACCGGGAAGTCCTTGACGGCCAATTGCGCCAGGAGGTCCAGGATAGCCAGGAGCTCCGTCTTTCCCGTCTGGGCCTTGTAAACCTGGAAGTCCTATCATCCCAGATTCTCCTATTCTTCCAGGCAATCCATCTTCTCCTGGCTCACCCATCATTCCCTGTCGTCCAGGGAAACCTACATACATAGTTATTTATGAATATCAAATATTTATTTATAAAAAGCTCGTATATAGAAAACTTGTAAATAGTTATAAAAAATAATATTTCTTTTTAGTAGTAATAATACCTGGTAATCCTGGGGGTCCATCATCTCCTGTCAAGCCTTTTCTTGGATAAAATCCGAATGGATTTGTACCTTGATCTCCTTTTGGTCCCTACAAAATACAAATAGTTTTGTATAATACTTATCTCTATCGGCTATACGGTCTTAACACTGAACCTACAGTTTACATTTTTTGCACAATAAAATCTGATACTTATATTTATTATGTTTGAGTGCCATTTAGTGTTGGCACTGGTAGTAATGATTGGAACAAGTTACCTTCGGTCCTGGAGGTCCTTCAAATCCTGGTAAACCAGGTTCTCCTTCCTCACCGCGTTCGCCTTTGAGTCCAGCCAGTCCTGGGAAACCATCTTCTGATCTTTCGCCTTTCTGTCCTTTCACACCATCTCTGCCAGGTATTCCGGGGAATCCTGGTTCCCCTCGTTCTCCCGCGATAGGGATTGAAGGTAGTCCAAATTCTCCGGGGAAACCCTTTTGTCCTTTTGGTCCAAAAGGACCCGGTGGTCCCTCCAATCCTGGAGCACCAGGATTACCATCGTAGCCAGGTAATCCTGTTAGCCAGAATGGAAACGTAATTAAGAATTAAGAATTGTAAATATTAAAAATAAAATGTTTATAAAGAGATGATAAAAACCTAGATCGCCAGGGAGTCCCTTTGGACCCTGGAAACTTCGGCCAACGTCGCCACGAATTCCTTTAGGACCATTTGGTCCATATTCACCCGGAGCACCCTTCTGGCCAGGAACTCCTGGAGTACCGGGTATTCCATCCAGTCCAGGCCATCCATCTTCTCCCTTTTCAGGAAACTGGCCAGGTATTCCTATACAATATTGTTTGATACATATAAATATTCATTCAACAAAAATAAATGAAATGAAATAAATTTTTCATAAAAGCGCTGCATACCTGGTAAACCTGGAGGTCCTTGATCACCAGGAAGACCTGGGAACCCTGGTACACCCGGGAATCCATCCAATCCGCGGATTCCTATATCACCTCGTACACCCTGTCAAATCAAGCCAACCATTTAATTAAGTAATCCTTATTCTGTAGTTAATCTATTAATTTTAAGAGCGCTGAGAATTTATGTTCAACATTGATTATCATTTACCTTCCTGCCACCGTATCCAGTGAAACCTGGTTCACCTTGTTCTCCTTTTCTACCTGGTGAACCTTCGAGGCCAGGATTTCCAAAATCACCTTTCTCAGCTGAACCGAACGCCGGTAGACCAGGATCACCAACGTGTCCTTTGGGTCCTGGCGCACCTATCAATCCGGGTATTCCTCTAGGACCCGGATCACCAGGCATGCCTAAAATTTTACCAATCCTGTACTCCCATAATTTCTCACTTTTTCACATTACGAACAGGGAGAATTACTTTAAGCTCGAGGCATTAATTTATCACAGTCATCGAAGTTACTTTCAATTTCAAAAATAAAATGATTTATAAAGTGATATTAGTTATATTCACCTGGCAGACCCATTTGACCAGGATCGCCATCCAATCCTCTTTGACCTTTAGGACCATCAAGTCCCGGCGTTCCTAACAGACCTCGTTCTCCTTTTTGACCAGACCTACCATGAATACCAGGTGCTCCAGGTCTTCCTCTGAATCCCCACTCTCCTCTTATTCCCTTCAAACCATCCGGCCCCATATCGCCTATCTCTCCCTGCACAACAGAAGTTGAAACGCTACTTAAAATTGTGATCAAAAGTTCCAAAATCAATTCATGTTGGAATTATCAACTTCAGAAGTTTAATTAATTTCTCAATTGTCGAACACAGTAGACTTTCGTATAACGCGAGTATTTACATATCAGAAATTTACAGACATCATCAGAAATGTTCTTCGAAGAACTTACTTTTAGGCCAGGCACTCCATTGAATCCGTCGTAACCAGGTTCGCCAGGCAATCCAGGCAGACCCGGAAGCCCATCAGTGGATACTCCCGGCTCACCAGGTAGACCAGGTCGTCCGTCTACTCCTGGGAATCCAGGAGCTCCGACTTCTCCCATGAAACCGGGTTCTCCAACGTCGCCTTGAGGTCCGCTGAAAGCGTTTTCACCCGGAGGTCCAGGGTAGCCATCCGGTCCGGTATCTCCAGATGGACCCTTGTAACCAGGTAGTCCCCTACTTCCCGGACGACCAGCCGGGCCAATGTCACCTGCCTCTCCCTTGGTGCCCGTAGGTCCCGGTATTCCGTCCAGGCCAGGTCTACCAGGAGGGCCAGGATTACCGATTTCACCAACGTCACCGTCGATTCCAGGAGGACCTGGCATGCCTGGCAAACCGTCTCTTCCCAAGTAACCCATGGGTCCAATATCGCCGTCTTCACCCCGGCGTCCAATGAAACCGACTTCTCCTTTCAAACCTTTCATTCCATCGAATCCGGGTGGTCCATCAGATCCTGAGGCATTTGTTAATATTTAAAGATGTTAATTTGTCGGATTTCATAGCTGCCGAGGATTAGCTTAATTTGTTCTGTTGCAAACGATAATTAATGCAATCGGCCGGAGAACTCCCGGTCGCTGTGAAATAAGCCAGAAAATCTAATTTGCATATCGAGCGGTTCTCCAGAGAACAGCGGCAACAGTTCTGTTTTCGAAACAGTTTCAGCGATTCATGGTACTGTTAGGTCACAATAAACAAGGATTAGTAGTAAACGCATGAACGCGATAAACAATCGGCGAACACGCTTTGCAGAACACCCGTATTCCCTCTGGGAGCACCGAAAATTTCCGCTTTTAAAAGTTTTTGACATCAATGATACCTTTACTACGTATGAACGGTTTTTCGTGCTTTAATAGTGTTCCACTTATTCGTAAAACTCGTTGGGATTATGCGAAAGCGGATATTTATCGAGGCGAGCGATCGTTCCGTCAAATGAAATAAAATAGTTTAAACGCTTATCGGATTAAAAGGAATATAATTGTTCCTATCTCTCGGACACAACTATTTATACAATTATTTAACTGGCTTCGAAGTGCATTTTACTTCAACAGAAGATAAGCTGTTTTCAGTCATTTAGTAATATAATTTGCATTCCGATATTTGTTTGAGTTTAATTAAAATTAAAGTAATCATACCTTGAATTCCGGCATCTCCGACTCTTCCAGATATTCCTGGCTCGCCCGGTAATCCAGGCATGCCTCTAGGTCCTTGAATACTGTCGCCACGTTGACCCTTGGCACCCTGCCGATCGATTTCTCTCGTCAAGTCCTCAATTCATACTTCCTCGTTTTTTTATGAAAATCTGTCTAACATTACCTGAAGCCCAGGTAATCCAGCTAAACCGGGAGCACCTTTGGCACCTCTTACACCTTTTGACCCATCTATTCCGGGTCTACCTCGGATACCCAATGGTCCAGCATCGCCGATGTCTCCTTTCTCGCCAGCCCATCCGGGGAATCCATAATCGCCATATGTTTGATTCGAACCTGGGTCACCTCGATCACCTTTGTTGCCCGCACGACCCTAAAATCAATCGAATAAAAATTCCTGTTTACAAGAATGTATCGAATTGTAAAACAACGTTTTGAGTTAAGTGAATTTTTTATTATGATTTCGTTATTATCCAAATATTTTTTTTTCCGTCTGCTCACCGGAAAGCCAACTGGTCCTTGTGATCCTGGCGCACCAGATGTACCGCGAGGACCTTGATCTCCGGGCATACCAGGATATCCCTTTAAACCAATTGGACCTTGAGGTGAAATACCAGGGGATCCTCGAGGTCCTGGTAATCCTGGCCATCCTTCGTCACCTGGCCATCCTTGAGCACCCTTTCGACCTTCCTGGCCTATAGAAATTTCAGTCGGGCATTTTATAAAATAAATTAAATGTTTCGAAAACACGAACAAGGAAAACTGTGACTAAGAATTTACCTGGTTCACCCCGTACCCCTTTGTATCCTTTCTCTCCTTTCAGGTCTATATTGTATTGCGAGGAAATACCGCGTTCTCCTTTTGCTCCTTTATCGCCCTGGGCACCTTTCAGTCCCGGAATTCCCGGATGGCCTGGATCGCCCCGCAGAAATTCGATTGGTGTCCATGCATTGTCACCTTTCTCACCTGGGATGCCATCCAACCCCGGATATCCGTCGCGTCCTGGGAATCCTGGAGGACCAAAGTCACCCTGGAAACAGAAAAGAATATTATTTGCATTCGACAAATTTAACTTACGCTTATAATTGAAGCATTAACTAATCTTTCTTCGATTAATAATACGTATTATAATTCTTTTGATTGCTTTTGATTTAACATGTAATTACTTCAAATATAATACATTATTTTCAGAAACACACAATCACTTTTGAGCATTATAATAAATAATTAAATTCAGATAATTTTCACAATGCATTGAAAAAAGTAATGATTGAGAAAAATGAGGATCATCTTGCCTTTTCTCCTTTAGGTCCAGGCGCACCGGCGTCACCGCGTGGACCAGGGGGTCCACGTTCTCCACTTAATCCTTCCAGACCAGGATATCCTTTGTCGCCAATGTCACCGGGTTTTCCAATCAATCTTCCATCAGGCAAATGCAATTTTCCCTTTTCCCCTTTAGGTCCTTGAGGACCGGCGACTCCAGGTCGCCCGCTGTCACCCTGCAACCCCGGCGGCCCGTGAGTTCCAGGTTTACCCTGTGCACCCTTTAATCCTCGAGGTCCGGGTAATCCAGGAAATCCTGGCGCTCCGGGATACCCGTTCACTCCAGCATCACCGCGTTCACCTTTTTCACCTGGTCGTCCTGTGCAAAAAACAGAAAGTTTATACAAATAATGGAAAGTTTAGCATTTTTAGCATGTGAGAATATTAATTTCGTAGATAATGTTACTATAGAAATGAAATGCAAGTCCTATAAATTAAATGGAAGTTCTGTATGTATACAAAATCAACGTCTGGTAAATGCATGATGTTATCTGATAAGTGTTGTTATAGTTGAAGATACAGCAATAACTGTCTAGCGTTCTTACCTCAAGTTGTCATCATCATTAGTCACGCTAGTAAACTGATACTGTCTGACAGTAGCAAATGGAGCGAAGACACGGAATAATGTAGTGACATTACAGCACAGATTTTCATCGCGAAATTGAAGTTCAACGCTCGTAAACGAGAATAATTTTAGTATATTCAGTTGTATTGCATTTTTTCTCTGAATTATTTCTGATCAATTATTGTACATATACGTATAGTAAATGATCTAAGTTATGTTCACCTAACAATTTTTATTCACTATCCTATAAATTAAATGGAAGTTCTGTATGTATACAAAATCAACGTCTGGTAAATGCATGATGTTATCTGATAAGTGTTGTTATAGTTGAAGATACAGCAATAACTGTCTAGCGTTCTTACCTCAAGTTGTCATCATCATTAGTCACGCTAGTAAACTGATACTGTCTGACAGTAGCAAATGGAGCGAAGACACGGAATAATGTAGTGACATTACAGCACAGATTTTCATCGCGAAATTGAAGTTCAACGCTCGTAAACGAGAATAATTTTAGTATGTTCAGTTGTATTGCATTTTTTCTCTGAATTATTTCTGATCAATTATTGTACATATACGTATAGTAAATGATCTAAGTTATGTTCACCTAACAATTTTTATTCACTAATTTTTTTTCCTATAATTTTCTATAATAGTATGTAGTCATAAGTCAGTAAGTAGATTCTGTGACGTAAACAGAAACTGGGATATTTATTATATATGACGAAAATTAGTTTTAGAAGATTTGTTGTAATTTAATAAATAAGTCACCTGGCGGACAAATGCCACAGTCCTCTCCTTTTAGACCTCGGAAACCTTTGGGACCTGGTATCCCTGGATATCCATCGGTACCAGGACGTCCTGGGATTCCTGGTAAACCGCGTTCCCCAGGAGGACCACGAATCCTTATTCCCTTTCCGGGAAATCCTTTTAGACCTAATTTATAATTAAACGTTAATTAGTGTAACTGTATTAAATTGTATAAAAAGTCGATTAGGTTTCGGGAATTCTACCTTGAGGACCAGGATCTCCGCGGTCGCCAAGTGATCCAGAGACTCCAGGGTATCCAGGTTTACCATCCCAACCCGGTGGACCAATTATCGTTACCCCAGGAAATCCTTTCGGTCCAACTGGTCCCGGTATACCAGCTGCACCTGGCATACCGGGTGATCCCATTGTTCCAGGAAGGCCTGAAACCAAGAATTAAATTTAATAAAACATATTTCCAATGTTATTCTTGTATATGTCGTATGGGGCATCGTCGAATATTAACCATCAATTCCTGGTTCTCCTTTTGTGGAAGATCCTTTCGCTCCTGGTAATCCAGGAGAGCCGGCTGGTCCTGGAGGACCTGGTGGGCCGATGTATCCTACGTTACCAGGCCGACCTGGCGTTCCTGGTTCTCCAGGTTTACCAGGTGGACCTAAGCGAAAGAGATAAGTATTACAATTAAATTGCAATTTCATTTTAATATTAGTATATCTTTCTTTTTTCAAGGTTTACTGATGGAAATCAACCTAAGTCTCCTTGTATCCCAATGTTCCCTTGAATAATTTCGTCCAGTTCCGGTACGTATATTCCAGGCTCGCCAGCAGCTCCTTGTCTACCAGGAGGGCCTCGATTCCCTGGCTCTCCCTCCTCTCCCTGTATTTTACCAAAATACAACCATTTACAAATCTCATATTTCATACAAATCCTTTAAAAAATTATTCGTACATGTTTTCTTACGATTAATGTCTCGCAGTTCTCAGTGTTCATAATTTAGATGTTACGCACGAGTAGATTATGATAATACCTTTTTATCATAAAAGGTGCACTTACGTCTGGTCCGTCTGGTCCCGGATTACCAGCGTATCCTGGAGCTCCTTTCTCTCCCTTTTCTCCCGGTGGTCCCGATGGACCCTCAGCACCCTGTTTACCCCTCGGTCCATCACCGCCTTGCTCTCCTTTCGTACCTTTAATACCGGGAAATCCTGCTCGACCCTGGGGAAAAATTTTATGTACTATGAATACTATGTGTGATCTTTTATTTCTTTCGAATTTTTATAATGACGCAACACCGAACAGGATACACAATCCTTCAAATGCCACATCGGCGATCCTGATTAAAATTTGATTGAAACCATTTGCATTTATTATCAAGTTCATTACAGTAAGTTTTTTAACTGGGTACATTAGATTGATACAGTGAGTATATTTCTTACTAACAAGTAAGTTACACTATACTTGTAAGAAGCAGCTGGAATTACTCTAAATAAATTGCGGCCTATTACTCACCGGAGGGCCTCTGGCGCCGTATTCTCCCTTCCTCCCCCTATCTCCCGTGTCACCGTGCTGTCCCTTCGCACCTTTGTCACCCTTCACCGGCGTAGTCGCGCCCGTCTTCTTATACTCCGGTCTAGTCGCTGTTCCCGGCTCGCCCCTATCACCCTGATAACCCGGCTCACCCTTGCGGCCATACCGCGGTTCACCGGGTTCACCTTGCAGACCTGGCAATCCCGGTGCACCAGGCAATCCCTGAAAAGATTCAGTTATTCTTCATACTTCAAATAATTAATCAGGTCTCATAATAATTAGTTAAACATTCGATTCTATTCATTTTATTATCATGTCAGTGGCCTGTTGTTCTGGAAGTATTTAATTTTAATTAAGAGAAAGATTTATTTTTAACAGTTTAAATATAATTATTTGAAGTATCATTAAATTGACAAGAATATATTATGAAATTATGTAATATATTCTTCGCAGGAATTTCTCGCTATTAAGCAAAGCGAAATATGATGATCCACATTTTTCACGAGATCAAAATTCTATACAATTTCTCATATTTTCTCACTGATGAAATAAAACGGATATAAAGCAAAGACGACCGCAAATGTAGCAGCGAACATGGGTATCTCGGGTTTCTCGGAAGTTGCCGATTGCTCGCGGTGGAATCTTCTCCCGAGGGAAGACGGCACGCGTTATCACGGTGACCGCTGTGTCAGCAGATAGCAGGCTCCAGTAGCGCGACGCATCGGATCTCTGGTTCGCTTCGAGTTTAGAGATTAACGCGTGGCTGCAACTAATCGTCGCCTTTCATCCAGATCGTTTTCGCTTAACATGATATTCATCAGTCGTTCTAAACCCTTTTTATCCTTCCTTTCAGTTTTCTAAAGTGTGTCATCGACCATCCAATTATTCAAATAAAATGTAGAGATAAGGAGATAAAATAAAGTAACATGTTTTTAATATATCAATTAAAATACATTAAAAGTTGATTTCTTAGGGCCCGTTAAGTGACGGCGTGTAATATGATTGTTCCGCGGTCGACGTGAAAATCGCGTCGGTTTGTAAGAAGATTCCACCGGGAGCGGCTTATCAGCGTGCGATATTGCGCGGTCCTCGGATTTTTTAAATTCCTCCCGCTTCTCGTTCGTGTCGCTTCCGGCGTGTCCGTTAAATTATTGCCGGGGAACACTTAGCCAGCCAGACGATATTTCATGCGAGCAGGTGGCGTTTCGCAAAAAGGAACGAGAAACGTTCGCAGACCGGACCCTCTCCGTCCCTCTTCCTCCCACGTCTCATTCTCTCTCCTCGTCTCGTCCTCTCTACGCCGTTTCTCTTTCTCGTTTCTCGCTCTTTAACCCCGAGAGCGGTGAACGAAAGGCACGACCTAAACGCTCGTAAGATGTTCGCGAACCCTTGGCCCGATCAACCGTTACGGTACCCAAAGCGAGACGCACAGACGAATAAATCGCGATCCAATACTCACCATGTCGCCTGTATCTCCCGGATAGCCCATCTCGCCGGTGTATCCGGGCGGCCCTTCGTAACCCTGGACAGAAAATTCGTAAATTAGTCGGGGCTCCTAAATGAATTCTTTCTTTGAACCAGTTCCGAAGATCGCTGGCATTCTTGCAGATTTCTTGTTAGTTGTGTGCTCCTTCACTAGGTATCGAATAACGTGGCTTTTTTATTTTCGAACGGATTCGAGAAAAAGTTTAGAAAACGGAATGGAGAATTGCTTGGAGTTTGTGTGGCCATTAAGGATGTATTGGCTATACAGTCAATACTAAAAGTTTATGTACCTTAGTAAAACGCATTTCCTATCATTAAAAATAGTGCATTTATCTTCTAATTTCGATATTTAATGAGTTAAGTATGATTATTTGGCATTTTATTGATGTTTTTTGGCATTTTATTGATTTGGACAAAATCCGACCATCCCACCGTCGAAACGGCGAACTTTTACGAACGAGTATTTCTGCTTCCCGATTCGTTTTTGGCATGAGAAACTTTATAAAAATCACGTAGTAGAGATATTGCAAAAAAAAAAAGTTTCGTGTTGTGTTACAAAATGCTGTGCAGGAGCACGAAATTGTATATCAACTAAAAAGATTTCGTTATCCCGTGAATATCGCGATACAGTTCAAGCGGATGGATAAATTTTTGCAGTATTTTTAGTTTGTACCCTCGCATTCCTGTCACGTGCCGAAACTACTACCGCGACCGGCCCGTGTGTTCGTCGTGGAACACAACCACCCATTTGCTACGGTTCGGCTTTTAGCTCTCCCTGGGAATGGTTACGATTCACCGGCGAAAAATGAATCCCTCAACGAGGCAACTATCATTTTCTGCCTATCTCATGTACCAAAACGTACACGTTCGTCCGGTGCAGAGGAGAACGGTTTGATTCGAAGCATTCAAATTCCAACGAGTGAACGCTCCACGATCTCTACTCTAATCACAGAAACTGATTTGCACGTGCCATGAATCTACAGGGACTCTGATGGAACTTCATTACTCCGCGTTATTCTTGCGATGAGGATCCTCTTTCGAAATCGATTTTGCTTATCTGTTCCTTTATACATCAAACTATGTCATTAAATTGATAATTAACAAATAATAATTTCAATTCTTTGAATTAAAAAAATGTGAATAATAATCAGTTATATAGAATTTCAGATAATTGTACAAAAATATTAATTTTAATATGAAAAAGAAGAATGGAGGTAATTAGATTTCTTACAAATACTTTGAAAGTATATTTCTTCCTTAACAAAATCGATTTAGTGTACTTCGCTAATTGGCCCCTACATTAAAACTGTTTAATTACCATTGGCCCATCGACGCCAGGATCTCCTCGGATACCTTTCGCGCCTACGGAGTTGATGCCACCGTCACCGGGTTCGCCAGGGGGGCCGTCGTCTCCCATCGGACCCACCAGGCCACGTTCACCATAGGTACCGGGCATTCCCGGTGCTCCGGCACGTCCGTCGGTCCCGTTGCATCCATCTAGACCGTCCGGTCCCATCAGACCGGGCAGACCTGGGGTACCCTGCGGTCAAGGATTTAATTATTCCAAGTTTCATCAGCTCCCGTTCCTTTCCGGTTTCGCTCAGGGAACGGACAGCTGAATTTCGTACACTTTCTCTCATACGACGAGTTTTCATCATGTATGCAAGTATGTCCCAAGTACTTTTAGCATTAAGATTGTATGAAGAACATTTACTACAGTATATTTATATTTTCTACATCTGAGTGCCATTTAATGTTGGCACTGATACTTTAGTTTGATAAAAAATTAAATAATNATACATGAGTACACAGATCACAATCAGACTGTTGATTTTATGCATTTATAAGAAAAATGATACATATACAGAAAATATAAAAAATTCAATACCCAAGGACATACAAAATACTAAAAGTGGAATATGTATTATAAATTTTAATATAAAAGAAGAAACTCTTATTTAGATTTCATTTTCCATTACAAATACTATATTTTGCATAAAAATCCACAGTCTAATCTAAAGGATTGTCAACCGCATATATCACTGTTCCCAAGAATGCAACGATCACGTTCGGTTATTCCATACATTGTAGCGTCAAGGATGCGATTGTTCATCTATAAAAATAAGTTCCCGATTACGTGTCAGCCGCCTACTCTGTTTATTTAAATGCGGTCCATCGTATACGGTTCGTCGCAATTGCGGGCGACGATTATACATACACACATTGCGTCGCACCCTTGATTCGATGGAAGGCCATCTAATCAACGGTTGCAACTGCAACCGTGTCGAATCCGCTTCCTGGTCTCGGAGGAGGAGAAACTGTGAACAAGAAAAAAAGAAAAACGCACACGGGGTGTGCGTGCGACTCGGGAATCGCTGATTCTGTCGCACATAAAATAAAATGCGTCGTTAACAATTGCCACTTGCACTCAATTTGCCGAGCGCGGCATAATTGTCAACACGAATCGTGCATCGTTCCTTTTTTTTCATTAAATCACCCAGTCTCATTTACAACTCGTATCTACTTGATGTCTCGTGTAATTTGAAATTCCCCCAATGCTTAATGATCTCAATCCACTTGTAATTCGACTTGTTTACTCATGTGTTCTCATTCGAAGAGAAATGAACTGCGTTAACAAATACCATATTGTCCTCTTTCTCATTATATGAGGAGAGGATTATGCATTTGTTAATAC